GATTCGGAACTTTGTCATCTTTCTCACATAGCAATCGTTCTCTTGACATCACCAGTGTTAACATGCCGACTCAACATGTTGCTTTCGCCAATCAAGACTGAACGCATGCTGTGAGCAATGAGCACCTTTTACAGGATTGAATAAACGTATATATACATAATTATACATTACATATAGATATACACGGGCTATACATTGTATATATGACATTCACGGTGCCAGGCATTGCCAGGCTTTCTATTATCAACAAATTGCTTTAGAAGCACTGTCATCTGTAGTGAATTCTAGGTTCTTAGCCCATAAGTGTCTTGTATCTGTGCATCTTGGGTCGATTTCATTGCTTTCCTGACCTCAATTTATATTGGTGGGCAAAGCTACCCACCTTGAAAAGGAGACTGATACCAAGGGTTTTGTTGGAAACACACATAAAACAAAAGACAGAGCATATCAACAGTCTAGTCAAAGTGGATCTGACCGATGAAAAGTAGAACGTGATTTGTTGAATGGACAAACAAGAAAGAAACACACACAAAAAGCAGAAGGGGTAGCAACCTTACAAAATCACAACTTTCACAACCCCACCCCTCATGACTACCCGCTCTCGAAAAAACATTATCAAACAATAAAGGCTCCTCTATGAAAAGCCCCTTCTTCCCCCTTTTCTTCCGGCCTCAACGGTCACTCCTGGGCCTTTTGATGACACCTGTGCGGTGTGCCATGGGAAGCTGCGTTCGATCTCGTGTGGTGTCCTCAACTGAGGCGATTGAGAATCGGTGGTCTCACCACTCACCACTCACCCCACGGGTAGGAGACTCGAAGCAAACCGGTCATCTCATTCTCACCAGGGTCTTGCCAGTGTTCCGATGTACAGGCCATTGTCTGGGTCTTGCAGTGTCCATTGTCCCGTGAGCAAGACTTCAAAATCTCTCCTCAGGGTGGACTGCAGAACTTGGGACAATCATTCGAAGGGGTTGTCCCATGGTCACTCTGAGATGCCGGCTCTCTGCTGAATGAACAGTCAGCTGAATGAAGAGCCGTCGCTGTCGGCTGCGTTGCGGCACCGAGCGAAATTCGGCACCAGCTTAGAAGAATCCTTTCAAATCAGCTTGGCTGGAATCCCCTGGATGCCAGCTTGAAGAAGAATCAGCTTAGCAGAATCCTTAGAAGAATCAGCTTGGCCAGCGATGCCGAGCGATGCCGATGCCACGGCCGTGTTCTGTGGCCGCCTCCGGTCGGTGCAACGCTTTGGCGCTTGAATGGCTTTCCATCTCCACAGGGCTCCTGACGGCGGAAGGGCTCCTATTCAACGGGTGAAAACATGGAACAACATGGAATCCATAGAATCTCGAAGTTTAGTCCTAGTGGAATCCATAGGCTTCCACAGTCTAGTCTACCCTGTTTTTTTCCTAGCTGGAATTCCAAGTTCCATGGAAGTTTACCATCAATAGAATCCACAATAGGAAGTTCAGGACTTCTAAGCTCCCTTCTGGGTGGGTCCTAGACAATACATTGACCTGCTTTATGATTTTATGGAGTTCCAAGTTCCAGGAATGTCGCATTATCAAAATGTTCTCTGTCCAACAAATACGGAGCCTTGCCCAATGAACTTAAACTGGAATAGACATCAGCTATAAAAGTTGCACCTGTCTTTGTGAGTTGTTTTTGATACAATACATTTACAATGCCATTGACACGATTCTCTCCATTGTCGAGTGCTTGTAGCATGGCGGGGGAAGAAATTCCACGACTTGACCTGACAAGTCTTGCATCAGAGGCCTCAAATTCTCAGATCCCTCAGTGGATTCCCTTTCACATCTGGGGCGACTTCAGGGGATTCTTCACAACCGGTTAGCTGTCCCCCACCGGTAGAGACAGCTGTCCGACAACATGTTTAAGAACCGCCCTCGGCGGGGTGAACAGCGGAAGTGACCATTCTTTGATCTTATGGCAAGCTATACCAAGCTTCTCTGGTCAAACTGCATGTCACGCTCTTTGCAACCTGAGCAGTTTGGAACTCCGTGATGTTCAATCTGCAGCGGTTGATAGTCCGGTCAGGTCTTTATGCGTTGACTAGGTCAATAGGTACTTATCAGCAATGCTTAAGCTTGGGGGTGCCGGGGTGCCTGTGCTTTTGAGACAAATCACCGCTCTTTCCTGACTGCTAGTGTGCCCCAAAAGAAGGGTCAAGCATTTTGGCTCTTGTATGGTCATGACACTTTATGATCTGGTAGCATCCGTTCCAGATCACCAGTCTGAACTATACCTTGCGGGTAACCTTCTGGGCGTCCATTCTACAACTCTTGCATTGTCCTGGAGTCCTGGATTCAACATCTGTGACTAACCTCCAGAGTGTGAACATCAATCACGGGGTGAAACTGTGAAACACCCCATGATTTCCTCACAGAAGAATTCAGACAAATCACCTCTTTCAGCATCTCCTGAAGCCTTCTGCACAGCACCCCGATGGCGCGCAAATCCTTCGCGAACCGCCTCTCCTTCGCCACGTGTCCGGGCAGCTTGAAGTCTCGGTCCTGCCGAGGGCCGAAAGCACGGTGGCGAAAAGCTCGCGCGCCTGGGTGGGTGGGGAGAATCCAGGTCTCACTCCAGGTCTCAGACATCACATGGAAGTAGAGGTGGGACCTTGGCTGAACGAAGCCACATGGAAGTGGAACCACCTGGCCATGTAAGAGATGAATATGGCAATGTTCAACTTCCATGCTAGCGTAATCTTTTTGAGTCTTGACCCATAGTGTGCGTGAGGTTTTGTTTTACAGTTGGTCCAGTCGGTTTGACTGCATGATTTAAAAAAAGCCAGTAGCCTTGGAGATGGTTGAAGAACGGATCCCCATGCGCAAAAGTCAAACTGAGTTGGTGCCACCTACTCTTAACTGACTCTCTGTAGTTGATCATCCTGGAATAGATAGTTTCACGGTACGCGTTGGCAACGTGCGTTTCATGTGCACTGGTTGCAAAGCGAGTTGCGAACCTGGTTTGCTCACCGGGTTAATTACATCTGGCAACATCTTTCGGCTTCGCCATGCAGCCATCCATGTGGAAAAAAGAGTCGAGCGCCAGGTCGCGTCATTCAGAGGCTGTGCCTCGTCTAGGAGCAGAGGCTTCAAATCGACGTCCAGGAAATGGACGTGGCCTGGAAGGACGCAGTTTCAGAAGAAAGTGGTTTCCAGGTGATGTATTTGTGATGTGGTGTACCTAGCGGTCGCGGTCACAGACCGTCCTAGCTTGAAAGTCCAAGGAAGTGATGTGGTGATATGTGATGTATGAATGTGATGTATGAACTGCGTGCTGGGGGGATGGGAAGTGTACGGAAGTGTACCAGTAAAGAGTCCGTGAAGCATATTGAAGCATGCATGAATCCAACAAATTGGAGAAGGACTTAGAACTAGGTGAAGATCGTGCAAACTTGGGAGAAAGACTTTCTAAGAGGATCATAGCCTGAGGCGGCGCTCCATAAGCGTCTCCCATCCTTTGAAGGTGACCCTCTTGGGTGCACCAGCGTCCGACATCATGAGGTCCAGTTTCGATAGCCGCTGCCCTGAAAGCACCTTAAGATACCCTAAGGATTCGAAGGGTCCTAACCAGTGTCATAAAGGTCTGGTGAGGGTACTCCAGGTCATTCTTGATCCTGGCGCCAGTGCTGTGGCCATCACCCAAGAGATGATGAACGATCGACACATGGTGGCCAGCTTCCGACATGGTTCAGAAAAGGTCAACTCAAAAACAGCTCCGGATGTTTTCCATCTACCAGAATCAACCCCTTCATCGATGATGGGGAGGAGGATGGGGCGCACCCTCACCCTCACCCTTCACGAGCCAAACTCGACCAGATCCGCAATCGGTCCCCACCACATCGCTGGCCTCCTCCATGACCGGCTTCATTCCAAGCACAGGCACTGCCCTGAAAGAGGTCAAAACCAAAATCAAAGAGCACATGATGTGGTGTGATCAACTCAACAAAAGTAATTTAAGTAATCTTCTATTTGGATAGTCCCAACAAGTCACTCAAAGGAAAAAGAATCGAGTCAGGCAAACACATACCAAACACCTTCTTGAATGTCCCACACATGGATGTTGGCCACAAGCATTTTAGACCCCCAAACGGCAGGTACCTTCGTCCTGCCCTGGGCGGTTGCCCGCGGCCCGGGCGCCTTGAACTGCAGATCCATTGACTTCACCGCCACGAGGCTTCCAGGTTCCGAGATAAGTCTTAAGCACTGAAGCCCAAATATTGCGGTGGTGCCGAGACTTGGGTCACCAAGGAGTTGGTTGGGAGACCCATGGGTTTGTCTTAGTCTTCGGAGTATCTGAAACCCAAGTGGTAGAAGTCAGTCACTAAGCCAATCGGTCTGGTCACACCAGTTGTCACAACAAAGGCCTGGTGCGGAAGAGGTACCAGTCTGGCCAGTGCCCACCCAAAGGAACACACACTGTTTCGTCTTGTTTGGCAGGAAACAATTCGACAAAACTTCACTTTAGCCGTGCTGTTTCTGTCTGGTTGACACACTCATGCATCCTTCAAATCACTCCCTTGACAGAGTTTGAAAAGTGTACTGTGCGGGCCCACACTGTGGGCCCGTCTCGCCAGTCTAAAGCCCAGTGGCTGACCACAAGACAACCTGCAATAACATGCAACAATTAACCCGGAACAACTATATAAGTGGGTTTAGAGGAATCTAGGAGTCCTAGGAGGCAACCTCTACCTTAGTTCGGTGTCACAAACCAAGTATTACATGACTTGATGGAGTGTCTTGACTTTCACTGCGAGACGTCTGCGACACCCCAAGCTTGGACCTTCACGTTCATGCGAACAAAGGTGGCGGTGCTCTTCAAAGGGTGAACTCTTCTTCCAAAGCCTTCCGGAAAAAAGAATACGCCAGGAAACAACATAGACTTCCAGGAGATCCAACCTACCATGATTTGGAGGGGCTAGGTATTGACCTCAGCCAGGTGAGGCTCATCCGTCTGAACAAAATGCGTCCCGCCTGCAGGGTGGCCTCTGGAATCTCCACTTTCTGCGGTGAAGGCACATCCTCGGTGTGACCTGGAAGAAGCAAAGCTAGGGGAGTATAACGAAAACATGCAATAAAATACAACATAGGTGGACAGTATAGTTTAGATACAGAAACAGGTGGTTCGATTGTGATATGTCATATAATATATATATATTATATAATTAGTAGGACATAGTATGACCATTAGCCAGGAACATTCATTTGACATCATTTGACTACCCCACAACCCGTTCAAGGAAACTGACCTGCGTCAACTGACCTGCGTCAACGGATGCAAAACAAATGTCCTCCTGAACTTTGCTGGACAAGGAAACATATTTTTGTGGATTGCACCTGTGACGAGATCCCACCACCAGAACTCACCGTCAGTTCCTCAGGGGATGCTTCCGCGTTCTGCATCCCTACTCACTAATAGTCATCATTAGCAAGCGACCAAAGCTTTTCTGACATTTAGACTTCCAAAGCACCTTTTCGCTTTGTTTAACTTTCCTTGTTGTCCCACCCGCATGTAGATCCCAAAACCTCTCAAAGAGCATTCCATTGCTTGCATTGTTCAGCATACTATACATATCAGTCAGAATAGAATGTATCCATCTCTGGCCATTTACTGCATTTTGCAGCAGCTTGGAGACACCATAATTGCTGGGGAAAAACTAAGAAAAAACTGTAGAAACATGGTTGCCTTGAAAACTTGTTACAAGTTTATGGATTGAAACGTATAAGCAACAGCTTATTATGTATATATCTCAGACAAATATTGAAATAGGATAGGTGAATATCAACAGGTTCAACTCATTACCCGGGGTAATCTTGGCCATTGTTGTCTGTGAAGATACAATCAATGATATAAATGTCCATGCTTTCTCTCTGTTTCCTCTTTGTCTTTTCCCCCTCCTCTCTCTCTCTCTCACTCACTCACTCACTCACTCTCTCTCTCTCTCATCTCTGTTCTGTATCTGGTTCTTCTCTCTGATTCTTATTATGTTCTTTTTGCTCATGTTTCTTCCCTCTGGTTTCTCTGTCTCTCTGTGTTCTCTTTCTCTTATCTCTCTCTCTCTCTCTGTCTCTCATGGTGATCAACATCATAGTGATGGCCAAGATCACCAGGTGGGGAGGAATCTGAAAACACAACAGCTTGAATAATCTTTTTAGCAACAGCTTGCGTAGTCTAATAGTAGTCTTGAGTAGTCTAACACCAAGGGAGCCTTTCTAGGAAACAATGAAGAAGGCACAGATTTAGAATCAACAGCTAGTGGGTTGTGCTATTGAAACCTGTTTGTGTAATTGTGGGTATTCTCGTCTGTCTTTCTCTCTTTCTGTTTCACCCTGCTGTGCATGGGTGAACCCAAGGGTGACTTAGCACCCAAGTTCCCAAAGGGGCATGTGGGCGGCCTCCCTAACCCAGCTCTTATGGCTCTGGTAGCTGCTACACTCCTGAATGGCTCCCTAGCTACCTCCCCACCTCTCCTCCTAAACACTGTTGTTTGCGGAGCTTGGTCCAGGTAATCCAAGCCTGAAAATCCTGAAGCAACCAGTCTAATAGCAATGGCCTCCAGCCTAATAAATAGCAAATAGAATCAATTGGATTGAAATAGATTGACATAGCATGAAATAGGCTCACAATATTCAAAAGATATAAAAGATATCAAAATATCACAAAACCTATCAAAATCATCCAACATCTCTGCAAAATGCTTCCAGGAAATTCTCTACAAGCTGTGGAAGACTCGACCCAAATATATATATATATATATAGCCCAAATTCTCTACAAAATGCTATCAGGCTTTTCGAGCTGCTTTCTCTACAAAATGCTACTTCCACACTCGACTGAAGATCTCAACAGCATGCATCGTGCAAAAAGTCTCTACAAAATGCCTCTTCCACAGTTGAATCAATACCTACAAAAAGCATTCTGTATACAACATGTCAACATGCTGTTGATTGAATCCGCAAACCTCTACCAAATTAGACTTTCAGTTCTTGGTTTTTTCTACAAAATGCAAAAGGTCGAGTCAAAAACTCTCTCTACAAAATGCTTGACATGGAAAATACCTGCTCTACAACATGTAGGGTAGGGGTCTATCTTAAAGAAAAAACAACACATTAAAAAACGCAACATATGTCTCTACAAAATACAGGGCCGGGTCTCTACAACATGACGGGATTAAGCGCAAAGGTGAGTTGTCTACAAAATGACCATGATATAGGGCCTCAAGGCCCTCATTTTGTAGATACGTTAACGGGGATCCAAAAACAACGTTCTCGTCTACTGAAGACTGGTGTTTCAGCGCTCGGACAATCTACTGGTTGCAGCTTCTTTCGGCCTCGGTTCGCCTGGTGCTTGTCTGCTCACCCGAACCCCCAAACAACCAAAGATCGGCCCGACATCTGGGGCCCTTTGCCCAAACCGAGCTGTCCCATGTCATTCTTCCCGAAGGCCAAGCAGGCGCCGCACACCGTGAGTAGCAAACTGCGATGGGGGCGGGACGAGCGTCTTCGTGCTTCGGTATGGTGATGTAACCGTCTTTCGTGGCCCATGAGTTGGTGCTTGGGAGACTTCTCCAGGTAGACTACATCCATTATGGTACCATGAAACACCACACGGGACACCCATATGAGCACCATCCAAGAACCCCAAACACATCCAAGCTGACCCACTGTGGCACCAGGTTGACCCATTCCAAAGGTGATGATCGGCTAACCGTCCTTACCTACCATCCAAAACTCCTTTTGCAACAAATTGTCCTTCCTGACTGGTCACAACTACCGTTCCCTTTCAAGTTTCTCTGATTCTGTGTCTGAAATACTAGCAGCATGTTGGATTCGGAAGGTAGCACTGTGGCAGGACAAATGACATAACAAACCGTTACAAGAAAACACAAAAACATATATATATATTATACACTATGTAGTCCTGCAAACGCCTATTATTCATAATTGATTCCTTCTGGTCATTTCCCATGGTCCTTACTACCAACCTGCAAATACTAAGAGATACTAAGAGGTGTTGAACATCCATGTATATAAGGATTTGATCCATCAGGGGTCCACATGGATTGGTACTACACCAAGCTTTGCGCTATCGTCTCATCCACCCACGGTCCCACCCACGGTCCGACCTGACCCGGGCCAACCCGTGACGGCCCGTCATGCGTGCAACGGCAATACGGCAGCCCCGACAAAAAGGTACCAGGCATCCCAAAAACTGACTGGTGTGACAATGAGGGTGTCTGAAAATGAAGGTGTCTGACACTTACCAAGTGTTTGGAGATCTTAAAGGGCCACCCTCATTCCATGCAAGCAAAAAGTCGTACCAGTCGACAGCTCAGACGTACCAGTCGAGCGGACCTTTTCATGCCGCGTACCCTGTTTTCCTTTGGCCTCTTCGAGGCGACCGATGAGAACCGGGTCCAGGTCCAGACGAGTTCGTAAACTCGTAGATATGACATGAAACAACGAAGAAACGAACGGACCGGTGACCGGACCCTGACTTCGTCTTGCCCCCCTCTTCCAGAGGTGTTTTCCTCTAGGATACCAATGGTTAGTAGAGGCACGGTAGAGTGTGAATTCCTTTTCTTGATCTGCAGCTGTGAAGCACTTGAAACCAACTCCAGCTGTGAAGCACGGATGAACCCAGCACCCAGCACTAAGGTACGGAGACGTGGCGTCTCACTTGTTTAGACTTCAAAGCTTGAAACCCACAGGGTTCAGAAACGCATGCGGAGACGTGGCTTCCATTTTTAGGGAGGTGAAGGAGGTGAGAGGTAGCCAAAATATTTTAGACATAGCGGAAAAGGGTTTACAGGATATTGCTGGCTGAGAAGCTTGATGGTTGGCTCAGTGGCAGATTTGGGGGATCCTTCCTCAACCGGTTGGCTGTGGATGGCATGGTTCGACTTCGACTAACAAACAGATTGTCCAGCTCGACTGTCTCTCAGAAAGCACCAAGTAATGGTACCCTTAATAAGTCCCAGCATTGGTGTATATAGTCAGTCCTTCCATCCATCCCACGACAGCAAAGGTCCGATTTTTCCACGGCCCATACCTTGTACCCCCCCTCCTCAGCTGATGGGAATTCCAACATCTTTAAACTACGAAGAAACATGATCCAGCACCACCCAAAGGGTGGTTATTAGGTGGACATAGCCCTTTGGGTGGTGCTGGATGAAACAACTGAAAACTATTGAAATTCCCCCAAGGGCTCCACACCGGGACCTACCATCCTTCAACTCCCACTTCTTCTTTCATCGGAAGCAAAACATCAAACAACGCCCTGGACCTGGGTGAAACCCTACGGCCTCCCGGCTGGAGGAGGTTCGTTTTGGTTGAAAAACACATGCTGGTTTTCCATGAGGTCCCTGCAGGTCTGTTTAGTGCATGGGTCGGGAAAAGCTCAAGGCGCTGAAGGGCGAAATAGGGGTTCAAGTGTCCGTCACGAAAGAACACCTGCCACACCATTTCATCGGGCCAGATCTGCAGGAGGGATGGCTTCAGATGATGAATGAACTCAAAATTCCTCCAATGATTCCTGCAATGTAGGCAATACTCAACTATTAAAGGTTAATACTCCAAGCACTATCCTTCATTCATATTACTCCAAGGTCTACAGTATCGGGCTTCTGTGGCCTGCTCTTCAACAGGTTTTGATGTCCAAAACTCAACCTCCGGCCACTGTGCCATCCACATGCAACACCGTCCTCGGGCGTTCCGTCGAAGGGGTGGGTGATGGGCATATATTGCATCCTCGTGACCTACGGTGCCACAAATGACATGGCCGTATTGCCAACAAATAAGAACAGATCACCTGAATGGAAGCATCATTGCCCGTCCAGGTGTTCGCCCTCTGATTCTAGCAAAACATCCCAGCCCAGTCGACCATCATCTGGGGGATGTTAGCACAACACATATGGTTCTGAGGTGATCTTGCAACCTCGATCAGCGTGATAAAGCCTACACTGGTGCTCCAGTGGACCCATGGATTGAAGCCCCTACTTGATCCAACCAGTGGGTCGGTGTCCGCCCCCGCCCCTTCGGGCCTTATACAAGAAGCTTGCGAAACGCAACTTCACCAACAAGGTCAGGCTGCACGTGCCGTCTGCCCCGGGGAAAATATCTGGATAAATCATGTATTGAACAACTTACTTCAAAAGAGCGACTTTCAAACTGATTGGTCCGAAAACTCACGAACCCCACGTGGACCTCATAGAAAGAAACCTCTACCCCACGGGAGTAGCGGGCCTTAGTTTCTAAATTGTGTTTCCCACTGTACGCAGTCCTCATTGCACCATCGAAGCCGAATTCGCCGCCTGGCTTCGTGCAGCAGGCGGAGTTCAGGTCTTTGTTTCTTGGCCTACCTGTCACAAACACAGGCGCTTCCGCTGTTTGGGTGACGCTGGGCGGAAACCAAGGCAAGAACCCGAACTAAGAAACCAGTTGCAAAATGAAACTACAATACCTTGATGCAACCCCAGGAAACAAGCAGTGTGCTCGCTGCAACACTCGCAACACTGTTTCATCATCGCAGGTCTAGGCCAGAGGCTCTGTTTGAGGGCCAAGGTTTGCTGTGCACTGACCTATGTATACACCTCTGTGAACTTGATTTCTAGATGCTGTCTCAATACAAGCCCTCTCGGCTCAATCAAGCATCGCATGCTATACTATAGTGACTGTGGCATCAAAACTCCACCCAAGAGTTCTGCAAAAACCATCCAATTTGAGCAGCGCCCTCCGGATTTCAAGAGCAGGGAGGCGAAGTGTGGGTTCCGAAGTACAAAACATCCCTAGTTAGTTTGGTTCATTTTTTCAGCCACCCCTGAGATATTTTCAAGCAAGAGCCAAGGGTGCCAAAAGTCATCGTGGCCACAGGACGGGTGCATTCGAATCAAGCTGGACATGAAACAAATTCATCGAATCCAGTCGTCGTTTTCAGCGCCGGTATGCGACAGCACGCCCAGTGGAGAGGGACACCAAAATGGGACGGTCCGTGCAGACCGCAGAGAGCCGCTCCAAAAAGGCAAACCACCCACATTTCGCATGGATATTGTCTCGATGGTTTGAAACATCATTATGTTAATATATATGATATTATTATAGGATTATGCTAATGCATTCTGCCTTGGTTAGGGGGGTCTGCTCACATAGTTGGCCACACAACATCTTAACGTCAGAGGCGCCGCTGCATGTTGACATCTTACCATGATGGTCGCTTCGTCGTTTAGGATTCTTTGAGTTCAGGCTTCGTGTCTAGGCCTGCAATAGATTTTGGTCTCGGGGAGTGAGTTATGGCTCAACCTCACAACCGTTGTCTTTGAGGCTGAAAGCGTGGAGTGGAGCACCTCTTCCTGAAACTTCTGTATCTCCGCTGGCACCGGAATTCTCTCAGCTCTTCTGCCTCCTGGGTTGGTGAGCTATAGCAGCTAGCGAGCGGCTCGATGAGGCACCACAAGAGGAACCCATGCAACAGAGCAGCCGGCGCAATCACAAAGCCTCTGCAGTGACAGGCAGCAACTCTTTTGCAAGCCAAATCAGCACACATGGGTACGTCTATGCCCAAGGGAACCAAAACAGCGTCTGCCAGTGTATCGAAACCACTGGCAACATACATGTCACAACATGCATTGCAAATATCCCTAGGGTATCCGCCATGCTTTGCAAACACATTGTCAACCGCAGTGCACACTGCACGCAACAAGGGCACCGACCCGAACAGGCTCCGCAAAACCGAGCAAATAGCAGTCAAAGAGAGCGCTGGCATGCAACACTCGCAACTGTTTTCTCACCACCAGTCTAGGCCAAGTTGCATAAGTAGTGGCAGTAGTGCCAGTAGCAGTAGCAGTAAGCAGTAAGCAGTAAGAAGTAAGCAGTAAGCAGGAAGGAGTACGCAGTAAGCAGTCAGCAGTAGTAGCAGCAGCAGCAGCAGTAGTAGTAGCAGTAGAAAGAGGATGTTTTCCGGCCGCAGTTTCCCATACACTATCAAAAGGTAAAGGCTAAAAAGGCTGGCATTCAAGTGGGGGGTTGCCTACCCGGGCCACCAGAACTGAAGAATAGGGTATCGGTAGGGGGTATCGGTGAAGCCCCACTCAAGTCCCCAAGAAATGCAAAGGCACCACTTCTCAAACATACATACCAATGCGATCACCCATGTTAGAGGCTATCGGTTTTGGTTGCGCCCCTATTGGTTTTGCACTCAAATAACCTGTTCAAAACACGATGTCCAGCCGAAGACTACTGCTTCCTCCTATATAGATATAGAAAATAACTTTGTCGGGCACTCAAATAATGCCAACACCTGACTGACACTGGGGGGATACCAGGGAAAACATACATTCCTCATCTTCATTCCGAATTACCCTTGTCGTGCTTGCCTTGTTTTTCTTGTGACATTAACTTGTCCAGCTTGTGAAACGCCGCTCCCCCAAAGCAGCCAGCTGCACCACCGAGTTGTAGACTGCTCGGGGATAGACACCTCAA